GCGCCTGGCGCGAGACCGACAGTTCCTGGGTTCGAATCCTGCGACGTGCGGGGTCGTGGATGAGCAATGCTGAGGGGCCCCACACTAGGATGAAACGGCCGTCCAGTGCTTCCAGGTTTTCCATGATGGTCTAGCTTCAATTGACTCATGATTTCAATCAATGAAATTTCTAAAATCTCCACAAAACCCCTTCTGATAGTTTTTTCATTAATTGACAAATAATTCACAATTAGATGAATATATATTTTGTCAGATATTCAGTCAGTTAGCTTGTAATTCTATACGGTTAAGATTTCAGGAGTTATCTCACGGGGGTTATTGAATGTGCCACCCTAGTCGTTCAATAAATTTAGAAGACTAATTGAACTGTTAAACGATTTGTGGAGAACTAGACTGTTTTGAAATATATCTTAGAAATATCGGAAAATTTAAACGAAGAGGACGGTGGAATACAGTAGTGTAGTAATTTCATATGTATATTCGTATTTCTTACATTTGACCTATTGGCTATTGCAATACTATTTATAATTCTTAACTTATTTTCTATTTATTAGTTACAGTCCCTCACAATCACATCCATTTTCAGCTTGATCGTGTGATGCGGTTTGATTTGCTTGTATATGTCTGAAATACATGATTCACATGGTGAAGGCTGAGATAGTGTCCTGAACTAAGCAGGCAGTGCTAGGCGAGAAAGATTAATAAGGATTCAGAGTAGACGCAAAACTGCTAGTGCTAGTTGACGTGTCATTGGTTTGGCACAAGAATAAGGTCACATAAGTCGGTATTGTGATTGAAGGTTTTGTCAAATGATCATTGACAGAGCCAGTAGAACATAACTATATATATACTAGAAAACGAATTATTCAACTGTAAAAGATATCAGTTCATTTGTTCTTGTAGAGATGCTCCAGCCCAACGACTCGGTGCTCGAAAATCAGGAATAATAGAAGTGAAAAATCATGCATGGTTTGAAGGATTCGACTGGAATGGACTTATAGCTAGAACTATTCAGGTTCCTATTACACCAAAAGTAAGTTCATTTGCGTATGACAGATTTTGTTTGCATTTTATAAGTATCCACTCAGGAAAAATGCTTTATATGACACTTTAAATAATCAAGATATCAATTCAGGATATCTTTTTGTTGAGGTCGAAGAGTATTCCTAGATCTAGGTAAGGAAAATTCTACTGAAGCATTCAGAAATATTTTTACTTGAAAACAATCATAGATATGTCTTTGTTCAAATTTGAAATGACTTTATTATCATTGAGGATGGACTTACCTTGTGAGCTTTACATTATCAGTTGATGTCTTGATCTACAAATGATCAAGATATATAGTAATAATAATAATCCGTTATATATATAACAATAATTTGTTTATTATTAAGTTTGTACTAATACAAACCAATTGAGTTTTCTATCAATATAAATACATTATCAATGTCAAAATGTTGTTACAATGAGTGTAATCTTCTATTGAATCATTTTAAAACCCAAGAACAAAACTTAATCTTAAAGCATGACTATTTATAAATATACTTCACTGGGAGATCATCTTCCACATAATTGATCAAACTGACTGACAGATTATATATATTTATACTACTAAAGTGCATACTGTACTATTTGAATGTTAGTTGTCTTATAAGTGGTACATTAATTGTAAAGCAGATTATACAATTCAATTAGTTCGAAGACTATTTGAGTTTTCTTTTAACTGCCTAAAACCTTGACATATCAGTAAATCAACTAATTAATTTAACAAGAAAAGCCGAAGAACGATTGGAAATTAGAAAGCATTGGAAAGTTGTTTAATCTGGACATTGAAATTATTTGTCAGTAAAGGAGCTATGAATACATCAAAGATATAATTAATGCATCGGGTTTAGACCAATGGATCAAAATTCCGTATTGCACAGCTTTAACTCAAGTTAACTGACTATGCAGCATTAATACTAAAAATATGTCCACAGTGATGACTGTGAGGTTTTTAATGGTTCTCTGGCTGACGTTACCCTCACAATGAACTATTCTTTACGGTTTATACATCTAATTTGCTAGTTTAGCATTGAAGACGATTTATTATTTTATGATAAATAATGTTTTTTATATAGCAGTACAATCAGTATTTCGTTTTTTTGTACACCTACAGATTTCCTCACCGACAGATTTATCAAACTTTGACAGTTATTCAGAGGAAGAAGAATTACCTCCAGAAGATACAACCGGTTGGGATAAAGATTTTTTAAAAGGCATAGTAACAATAATAATAATAATTTTATATTAAACCCAAGCGACTGAACGACATGACCCAAAAATATTCTGTATGATAAGCAATGACGTTATTTTCTCAACCTTTTCACTCAGCCACTTTTCAGCTTTATTGTTTCTGCTAAACTAGTATTGTAATAACGTCTCTGATGGAAATTCTTTCTTATTGTTTTTGCTTTTATTACCACGATACTATTTTTAGAGAGAAAAAAAGAAGAAAAATCATCCATTTCCTTTATTTTTGAATCTCATTTCATATCTAGTCAGCGACAGAGAAGAACTAAACTACGTATATTAATATTAATAAATGCATGAGTCTTTTCGTCTACATTGTTATATATATATATATATATATATATATATATATATATATATATATATATATATATATATATATATATATATATATATATGGTTAGATCACTGTTGAATACAACGGCAATCGTATTATTATTATCATGATTATTATCATTATTAAAATTGTCAACAATTGACAGGAGGAAATTACAGATGTGCCATGATAAAATGGAAGCTATTCATAATAGCAAACATTGATAATGAGAATAATAACTGAGGTTAGGAAGTTAGACCATTGGATTCCAACTTAGTGGTCTAAACATACTGTGACGTAAAATAACCATAAAGTTAAAAAGCCTTTGTTAACCAAATATTCATAAATTAAAAAAGATCGAGATTATATAACGTTGATGATGATATACAAAGATGACACGACTGATGTATAATCAAATGACTTAATCATGGTACTTGACCGGAACAAGACCATAATTCCAATCCTTTAAGTGTTAACTAGATTTAGAAATTAAATTATAAACATAAAATTAATGATAGATAATATCTATAAACATAATACAATGTACATTACATATGACTTGACAAGACCATACAAAATTAAATTCTTCTTAAGCTTATACTAATGAAAAACAGATCTCTCAATTACAATATTACCACAGAGGTTTTCTCAAACAATAGGAAGAATCACACTTGATTCAGCTAATATATATCTAAGGGCTGATTTTCAACGTTATTTTATACTTCAAAAATTTGTCAGACAGAAATAATCTTCAAATATCTTTGCTTCGGAAAGTTATGATCGGTTTGTTTTAATGAATTCCTCCTTAAACCTACAACTCTGAATGAGTTTAACTGAAAAAAAATTTTAAGAGGTCGCCACTGAAATAGTGAAAGATCGTCGCATGAGTAACCTCCATAACACCATATTGTTGGTAGTGGTACACTTACAATCTTACACGTTAATAGCAAAGCTGACAGTTCAATGATTGTCAGTTAGCAAAGTATATTTTGCAACTAAAGTGTAGAACTTGCAATTTTTGAATGTTCTGAGCAGTAGACCAGATACTGATCTACCAAGACAAAATACGAATTTCTGGAATCATTGTGACTTAAGATGATCAGAGGATTACGGGTTCATGAATAGGTTTGACAGCAAACTGCAAACGACGATTTTCATTGTAGTTTTATTGGAAAAGTCTCGAAAAAATTGAACGACCCTCAGTCGCTAAAGACTATATTTGTGTGTCGGATTTAGGGACGATGTTTTAAAAGAGGTTATGGCAGCCCTACTTACTAGGTTTTTGAGGAAAAAACTGAACTTCGATAATTGACCAGTTGGACTTTATCAGTATTATTTGACTGGCACGAATTAAGGGATAGACTGCCAGTCTGCATACTAAAGTAAAACCGCTCTTGTTAGTAGGATGAATAGTGCCTATTCCAAGAGCGGTATTTGACTATCACGACGGAAGTTTAAACCGGTCATAAAGTCCAACCAGCCGTTTTTCCAAAACTATTCCAAAGTTAAATAACACTGCTAAATTGTAATGTTGAAATCTGTGCGAAACGAAGGACTTAGAAAATCTCCAGTTGGAGCTAGAGATTAAATGAAAAAACTTAATTGTCCAGTCTCTAAATTTATCATGTTTCCAAGTTCTACTTTCTTTATTTTTATTTCATTCTCTACATTCATATTTCCCAAATGGCTATTCAACCTCACAGTTATTTATAAACAACTTGTGTCGCATTTCATAGCCTACTGTTGACGCTTTTATAAACAAATAAAGTTTACTGGGAAATTTTCTGTGATCATTGGAAGTTTTACACCTAACTCATGGACGATTTTCACAATGACCTAAAACTAATTTTTCTCAATGAATATTAATATATGTCCAATAGTTTTGAGGGATGATGAATGATTATGTCGTTAAAATTACTTCGTCCTGTTGAACAACCAGTAATTTCTCTTACAATTTATCTTGCACTGTCGAAAACGTTTTATATCTCGAGTTATGATGCTTGTAATAACATTATACTCACAAATCACCATTTGCAATTAATGTACAAGAAATACAGGCTTTGAAAATAAAATGTTCAAATGAAGCCAACGCCAATTAATTAATATGGGGGTCATGCGAGTTCCTAATTCACTGACTGTTTTGGAGCTAATTGCATAAATGACAAAAGAAACGGAGACTAGAATCCAAACTTTTTATTCGAAACAAATGAGCCTTAGGAATATTTTACAATATGAGGGAGAATGATGCTGAAAAACTGAGCGACGTGGTCATTTATTTCAGGAGCTAGACAGTGAACTTGCTTACTGTGTATTAGTTACTTTTTGATTTCATAGCCATTTTATATTAATATTGGATTTAATTTATTTTTAGCGAATTCAACTTGATGACTAACTATTTATTAAATATTGAGTAAACTTTGATCTTCTTTACTACTGTTGGTGAAATGGTCACATTATCCAATGATTTAGCTGGATTGTCTCAATTTTTCTCAATAATACCTTCAAATTACTGATAATTTGAATAAATTATCTGAGATTTAGATTCATACAATTTTATTCAGAATAAAAAGAAACAGGCATAATACATCAACATTAAACGGAGTTTCTTATCGGATAAAATAAAGGACCAAAGTAAAACACAAAGCTCAATGAATTTACGAAAACTATATTTTTTAAAATAAATGGGAATTAGTGATGTGTTCTAGGACAGAAGATAAACAATATGTTTAATTATTTCATACTGGTGGATCTATAACCATTCTGGAATTCAAATGAGAATGAACCCAATCAGGATGTGCGGCTTCAATATCTTCAACTATACGATTAACAGCTGTACATAAACTTTGAATATGCATACTCCAAGATGAAACACCAGGATCTCTGCCTGAAATATATAAAAAGGAATAACGAAATGTACGCATGGCGCAATAAAAACATGAGTCCGACGATTTATAATTAACTTATTGTTAAATTGATAGATGTATATAAATGATAAGTTAAACTAGAAATCACCATTTTAGGCCTTTAGTTAATGAGGTAGAAATGTTTCGACTTCCAAGTTTCATTAGTGATGTTATATGTCCTGAATAATCTTATTTATTCGATATATTTCAATGAAGCTTATTTCTTGAAGTTTTGTCATCAAAGGATAATGAAACTGCATTGGACGAGAACAGAGGCTGGGACAACCAAATGTATTTGAATACCAAATTACGGAATCTCTTAGTAAAATCTGAGAACCATACAGTAAATACTTCATTTGCAAAATGTCCATCAATTGTCTCAGACTTTATCGTTCCTTCATTTCCATATTATTCACCCTCTGTTCTCGTTCTCTTTACTTCGATCCTCCCAACCTTCTGCTGCCAGGCATTCCACTTTTGATTGGTGATACATACTAATTATATCTGTCGACATCAGTAGTACACACCACAATACTATTGTAATTTACAATGTAATAGGAGTTTGAGGGCTAAATATACAGGTAGTTATGTTGATGGTACTTATTGTGACGGAAACAATGTTTTCCAATACTTTTTACTAACTTACGCCTGTTACTCCTCGTGGAGGAGCATAGGCCGCTCACTAGCATTCTCCAACTATAAACCTTAAAAAAAATAATTCCGAGAAAATCTGAACACCCTATCTCTGACTTTTCATTTTCTGCGGTAAATTTCTCTATAAAAAAAGGGATGAAACATAACAACTGAAAAGCCCCACATGAACCGTTTTATATAGGTGAGTGTCCCTCGGTCTTTGGAGTCGGATAACAACGGCAACTTTTATAGCATGATTTAATAAGGGAGTATTATATATGCATAGGCACACATGTGTGCAAATGTCTCATGATTATTAACAACGGTTATCGGCGCTATAATATACTACAGTTGATAATCTTAATAAATATAGACAATTATGAATCCCATTAGCGAATTCAGGAAACCATAGAATATATAGACAAGACAGAAGTTTTAGAAACATGATATAGAAACGACACATGTCATCATACACATAAACAAAGACACCTACTACAAGAGTTACATAGGAGGAGAACAATTATTATACGTCAACTAAAAATGAACTCAACATTTAGCAACCGTACATCGGAAATTTCAAGATTTTCAATCATCTAAGTTTGAAATTTCAAGATTACCACTATAAAGTGCCATAAAAGGTGACATTTTAATACGTCGACTCAAAAGATCTGCTGAAAGGACATTTCACGCCATCAAGTTACATGTAATCTCAACCAAACCAGTACTTACACGACAAATCAAAAATAGGTTACCGATGATGGGCTGAATACAATTAAGTCAATGAAATTTCATTTCAAAAGGATGAAAATAAAACAGCCAACCAAAATTTGCAATTAAGCATAAAGTAGATATCTATTATATTCCATTGACCAAATAACTATAAACGTACTTTCAAAATGAATAACACCATCAATTTGATCAAGTTTACCAATTAATCTTCCTTCACTAATCATTTGAGAGGCGATAGATTCAGCCTAAAATTCGACAAATACGTGGTTTTTTTAATAAAAAATAGAAACTACTCATTTTGCTTACATTACAACACTTTGATCTGTAAAACTGAATTATTAAAATAAGCTCTGTCAAAAAAAAAACAATCGATTTGAAGAGTTTACTTGAACAAACTTCGAAAGTGAACAGTTTATATCGATTATAAGCAAAGATGGATAGTGGCTAGCAGTGGAATCCAGGACGCGCGTTTCGTCCTGTTTGGGACTCGTCAGCTGGATGTACCTGCATCTCAGAGTTGATGTTCACTCTGGGACTCGAACTCAGTACCGTTCGTTTCAAACGCCATCGCGTTATCCACTTAGCTACTGAGTCCTGATAGCCACTTGCTTGTGCAATGGGTTGAAGTTGAATTCACTTGATATTGCTATCAGGACTCAGTAGCTAAGTGGATAACGCGATGGCGTTTGAAACGAACGGTACTGAGTTCGAGTCCCAGAGTGAACATCAACTCTGAGATGCAGGTACATCCAGCTGACGAGTCCCAAACAGGACGAAACGCGCGTCCTGGATTCCACTGCTAGCCACTATCCATCTTTGCTTATAATGCTTGTAAATTTAGGCAATATCGTGGCATACGCACAGTATGCACATATGCCAATACGGAAATGATCAATTTCAGTCCAAAAACATCAATGGGAAAATTCAAGTAAAACAATATCAAGTGAAGTTTATATCGAGTTTGTTTATTATTCTACTGAACTACATCCGATTCAATTCAGTTTTGTTTATGGAACAATTTCTTTCTAAACGTGATATGCTACATAATCGTCAATGAGACAAATTTTCAATTTCCTGGAATATGATAGAACTTAGGTCATTTAGATCATTCTATTTAAACTTTCATAAAAGGAATGCATAGATTTCATGAACTACAACAAGAGATAGTCACAAAAATACATTTAAAAGAAAATAATCTCATGTTCCTGAGACAAATATCAAGCCAACAGATATGTTTATCTTCTTTTGCATTATGCATAAACATTGATAGGAAAATCTGTATTGGATTACCTTAATGCTTTATTGCTTTACATTCAAATACAGGAATTGTCCATAAGATATTTCACCTAACTAACTGTCTATATGAAAAAGTAATATATTAAACAAACAATGACAATTCAGTAGATACAAAATCATGGATATTATTATTATTACTATGTGGTAGTTTGAGACAAGAATTAATTAGATAAAACTTTAGCCACGAAAATAAATATTTAATACATTCCACAATTTAATCATGAGCTTAGAAATATCTATACTTTATAGATTAAAAAAACATTTTAATACATCACCAGAGTGACACTATGCACAGAATTCAATTACACAACCACTAGTATTTGTCGTTAACTGAACCGTAACCTGTTATATTTATTTTAGAATAATTAATTTGGAAATCATTATAAAGACAATTTTTATAGTAAAATTTACAAGAATACAAATAATGTTGGGGAAAAACTTAATTTGTATTTATTGATTAGTTCAGATATCCTTTGAAAAGTCTTTTCCTTGCATTTGAGATTGATTAGATATGTAACAATATACAATACTGCGATTCGATCAACAGTGAGTAAAGTTTTCTCTTTCTTTATGACATACATTATAGACTTTGAAAGAGAAATTTAATTTATTGCACGCACATAGTAATGGTGTTTTACACACGGTAAAGTAAGATGTTAGGTATTGAAAGTGTTTTCCTGAATACGAAGAGTACATTTAAGAAGGTTGGGAAACCCCGATTTTATGCCTATCTTAAATATAAAATCTAAAATACCCAATGGTGTATGAACCTATTTCAATCAACAGTAACTCATCAGCATGAATCTTTTGATGTAGTACAATTGGATCATGGATTAGATTTTCAGGTCACAGATGTGGGATTGTATATTGAAAAAAATCAACTACTTCGAATGAAGAGCAGTACAACTGTCAAACAAATGAAGGACTATACAAAAGATAGGAATAATTTGTTCCAAAAATCTAATCACGTAAACACTCCTACATCGCTTTAGCCCTTAAAATCTGCAGGAAATTTTTAAATAACAATAATAATACAGGAAATTATATTAAAAGCAATTTTGAATTACCAACCTCACTTGCAGATATTTCCAAAAGAAGACCTAAATTCTCCAAACTGATATTATTATAGATTAGACTGGCAGCTAACATGTTATGTTCAATTAAAGCTCGTTCAAGCAGTTTTTGTACAGAAGATGAAGTTATGGATGACAATTTCCCCGACTGATCTTGAATACTTGAAGTTATTCCCGAAGAATCTTGTAATGAAGACTGTAATAAATGAGGATAATATTTCTTAAGCAAAGGCTCCAAACTGGAGAGTGATGAACGATTGATTAAACGTCCCATAAACCTAAATATAATCCAATAAATGAACGAACAAATTATTTTAACAATGGATATTGTGGAACATTATCAGACAATATAAATTTTACACAAGCACATACAGATTTGAGGTTGCGATTTTAACAGAAGTGAATCAATTTGATTTTGTTGGCACATACACTTCGTGCACATAACAAGTATCCATGAACAACGTACAAGTATGTATCAACTCAAGTTTCTACACCACATCAAAGTCAGATGGAATTATTAAGATCTATAGAAAAGAAAAGGAAGTAATGATGTTTATCATGATAAAAATTGCTTAATAAAGAGAATAGGGTTCGAAAAAGAATGAACTGGTGTAATAAAAATTACGAAATAATACTGCAACTTGAGTTAGATCACCAAGTGTCTGCAACCATAGATCACAACTCCAAAACAGGAAGTCTGAATCACTCCTAACGACCCGACCCACAGTTAATGACTTAATGGATCGACGCAATATCTTTTTTGGACGCCTCTCGCTTCCTTTCAACCCACTGTTATCCAATCCAGCATCGCACATCAAAGTAGGCAGTGAATGGATGTGTATAATAAATGTCCATCAACTGAATTACCATCTTTATGTAGTATCCTACGCCTAAACTCAGAAGTATTAACTTGGTCGTTTTACAATGAAGATGGGGTACTTTAAAAACACTATATACTAGAAACCCACACATGTTTTACACTCTCAGAGGTGACGTTTCGAAATTATGAAGTAAAACAGCAGACTTGTGTACAATATACTTACCCTTTGATAGACACCCTATCTATTACTTAAGTGAGCAAAAGAAAGGAATAAGCTTTTTGAATGCATACCAAAATGGAAATTGCATGATACTTAGCAACCACTAGGACATATTTAACCCATTTGGGAACTGGTCGTCTACTGCACTTCAATGAAGTAGTATTCTTATAAAAAATTGAACCCGAAATTTATATCTTCAAGAATGCATTATTACCAGGATACCAATTACTATTTTTAATCCAAAGAATATCAAACTAATATACTACAGAATGCTAGAAACACGAATCACTAAAAAGTGACTAGTACAGCTCGACAACTTAGTTCAAAATATTTCGTAGTATGAACGGATAACTGCTAGGTATGCATTTTGCTCTGAACATTAATCCACATTAGGAATAAGATACATATGACTATCGAATTCAAGCACAACGAAATACTGATCACAAATAAATACAACTGGGAATAGATCAATTCAGAGAGGATAAAAAGTGCATTACACCACCCGTTCAGATAAAAGACTATCAGAAATTCACTTCATCATATTATAACAGGAAGTGTCAACACAATATACGGACTCAGTTAATTACAAACTTCCTAATTGTTGTTTGAACTAGTGTATTATTTTAAAACATAAGTGTTCATTACTAAATCTGTAAACAGCTTTTTAAACGATATTATTTCTATAGTCAACATTATTAACTGTTGCATATATTGGAAACTTATGCAAACTATTTTAAAATAGGATGATTCTGCAAATAACTAAATATAATAGTGAACGATTTATTGAGTTCCACTTCCGCCTAAGTGAAAACTAAAGACTTTTACGAACAACCTGGTTATAAATCAAGTTCGTATTTATGGTAATTTCTTCAAACTGTGGAAAATCTTCAAACTAGAATGAAACGAATATCCCATATCCCTTGCGTTTAAGTAGTTCTCCACTTAATTTTAACCTGTTGTGGAAACTTTCCTTAAAAAAACCTATCAAGTGTTATATTTTGGCAATGACTAGCCTATCACATTTGTCAGTGTTTCAACATCAGCTTTATTTTCTACTGCATCTTACCGGACAAATATTGAACGGCAAATAGATAGATAAAAGGACAACAACACTAACTGTTTGCTTTCAGATAAAAAGCAATATTACTTCACAAGATGCTCGTATATAGTCAATTCCCGAGTGACTTTGAAAGGACAATGTAGCATTAGAATATTATCCATACAATTAAAGAAATTGAAAGATCGATCGGGGGAATACGACCATCAGATACAACAGAAAAACTACTTTCAATTTTAGCCCACTGCTTAGTAAAGTGACAGCTGTTATCTGTATACGTTAGTAAGGACCAAGTCAATTCTTGAATAGTAAAATACAAGATACCTTTTAGAAACGCCTAGTTTCCCAAACAACTAACCAATATTTGCTAAGAATGAAGACTTTGGACTACTCGTCAAAAAACCAAAATTACCTTTAGGAATTTTTAGTCCTACTGGTTGATCCTCAAACAAACGAATTCTCTAAAAAACGACTGTAACTACTATCGATAGCAGCAGTTAACGAACCTCTTCAGTGTTTATACGCCTTGGTTCAATTTCCAACTGTTAGTCGGGATAGAAGATAAATCATAGTGAACCTAATATACATTGCCAGTCATCATTGATTTGTGTGAGGGCTGGGCTACTGCCCGGGTGCCCAAACCAAAGCAGGTAGTTTTCTTATGAGGTCACATCCGGAGCCTTCTACCTAAAGATCTGATCCACAAGGCAGTGGAGCATCGTAAGGAGATGCAGTCCCATGGTAGCCGGTGACCGACGATTGATTCATACGTCATTCGTTCCTTCAGGATACTGGAACCCATGTGCACCATTGGTTTGGAATGAGCGTTTTCCAACTCACCTAGGTTGACTCTCCGTGTCCACTAACCAGGTTAAATCGCCGGACATTCGCTTTTCGCCCTCCATTCCGTAAACAACACCCCCACCACGAGAAGGCAGTGAGTAGGACTTCCCTGCCAGAGGCTATATACGCGTGGTCATGTGAGAGCATTTCGAGAGGGAGAGCGGACTCTCTTCACCCTCGGCTGTACCAGAGCATATATGGGTTCCCCAGCCCTGCTAGCCAGAGAGAGAAGACCAGGTTTAGATGAGGGAAAGGCATATTCCACAAGCAGTCAGAAGAACGGACAAACCAAGCACACAACTCAAACGTATATATACAATATGAAAAGGTCCTTGGGAAACATCACAAAATAGCGTAATAAAATAGGCAACGAACCAATAGCATGTAGGGTCCTTCCAAGTGGGGAATACAAGCTGAAGGTAAAACTGAACGAGTTTGGCGCGAAAACGAGAAACTTAAATTCCTAAAATAAAATTACAAATACAAAACGTTTACCAAGTGATTTCTGGGGATCTAGTATCCCCAGCACACAACAAGCTTGAACTGTGAATAATAAAATAATCATTCTTTAACTAAAAAAACACATTATCCAAATAACATTCGGTGTTTTTTAGTTTAAAAGTCTTTTAAATCAGCCAAACGAGGTGAAAAACTAATTGACTGTTAGTTGTTAGTATGATCATCCCGTGTAAGTAACAAAGTCTAGTCAGTGTTTGATTAATAAGAAAAGTTTATAGACTTCATCAGATAGCGATATAAATTATTCTTTCTTACTTAATAATCAACATAACATTTAATATGAACACTGTAAAGTGGACTTACATATTTTCTAAAATTGGATAGGCATCGAAAGTTTGGCACCGTTCATCTTTATATAAAGTAGCTAATAATCTAGAACGTTGTTGACCAGCACTTGAAAGTAAGGCAGCTGCTAACGCACGTTCTATAAAGGCCAAACGCTCGGAATCATCAAGCCATGGAAATCTTATGGACAATTCAGCATAACGTTGACCAGCTTCGAGGAATTTTTGCTTTAAATCCAATAAATGTGCATAGGCTATCTAAGATAAGTTTTAAATAACGATAAAGGAAATAAATGATCTAGTGGACAATGAAAAACATAATGAATATATTATAACATATAAACTGAATTATTTAGCTTACTATTACATCAGTTGATTTTATCTGTGTATCATATATATTTATATTAAAAAGTTGAATCAATACATGACCACCAACCAATCAACTCCGCTTGTAGTTCTTATAGCGTTACTGTCGGTCCGAAGCCCACACAGAGGAGGATCGGGAGTGGGGACGGCAACCTCATCTTGGATAAAAAAAAACCTTGCTAAAAAACGCTAACCAGAATAAACAATTTAAACCATTTAAACTCTGTCCTCTGAGTTGAAGAATCCTCTTTCAGAACAAAATCTTAGAAAAATCACCCACAATCCTTTTCGTACCAAGAGATAAGCCATTAGAGCACGCTCCGAATTTCGCTCAGTGGGAGCTACCCTAGTTTGGAATGCGCTTTCAGTCAAACTGATCCCACCCTCCTCAGTGGATAGCTTTAAGAGACTTGACAAACACGCATTCCCCCGTGGGTTGCCATACCGCTCTTCGGCAAGCTGTGTCCGATGTATGTCTCATAAATGACCACGACTGTCATTGCTACACAATCAGCAATTATCCCTATCTCTCATTTCCATTACCTCATTATTCCTTCAATCCCAATTTCTTACACATCATCGATTTGGCAAATTAATTATTTATCCTTGAAACAATCATCTCCTATGAGCACTTCAACTATCACTTTATTCTTGAAACAGCAAGATGTTCGAGCAAAGAAACCAATTGGATTATACGAAGTTGTGACGACGACAATGAACACTTGAAATGATAACTGAAAAACATTTATTTAAAGCAGAATATGAAAAAACGTGCACGACGATTCGCACAGACACTTTGATATTAAAAACTTGAAACTTATAGAATTCTCCAGTGGAGACGAAAGTAATAGGATCTCCCGCTTAGTCACCCAAAAGATGGTACGATGACATTTAGTCCTGCTATCAGGGAAGAAAATTATTGTTGATGTTACTCCTCGTTCAAGACGATGAAGACCAGATTTACGAGAGACAGCAATAAATCATAGTGAAGTGCTCAAGAAGGGACCTGACCATCCTGATAGGAGACCTAAACGCCAAAGTCGGAATGGACAACAACAGTTATGAAGATATCGTGGGACAACATGGACTAGGAGAAAGGAACGAGAACGTGTATGTGTGCATTCGTAAAAATGGTTATAGGTGGCACAATATTCCCACACAAACGCATACAAAAAGTTACATGCGTCTCACCGCGTCACACTACAGAGATGAGCATCAGAGCTGACAAGCAGAAATACGTGGAAGAGCTAGCAATGATAGCTCCAAGTTCTATTCAAGAAGATTTGAGAAGAATAGGTACCACAGATAGACTGGAAAGACACCTCATCAATATACCAAAGGAAGGAGATTTGAGCAAATGTGAAAAGTACACAAGCATTACACTGCTATCAGTACCAAGAAAATTTTTCAACCGAGTGTTGCTGGACCGGATGAAAGATTCAGTAGACGTCCGGCTTCGAGATCAACAGGCTGGATTCCGTAAAGATCGGTCGTGTACAGAACAAATCGCGACATTACGGATCATCGCTGAACAATCGGTTAAATGGAACTCGTCACTATACATCGACGTCCTTGACCATGAGAAAGCATTTGGTAGTATGCATAGATGAACCTTGCGGAACATACTTCGACACTATGTAGCGATTAACTGAGGAGATCGTCAACATCACCCGGAATTGATATGACGGACTACACTGCAAAGCTGTGCATGAAGGACAGATGACAGACGCATTCCAAGTAAGGGCCGGAGTAAAAGGCGAAAGATTTATCTGCAAATGCCCTGGTATGGTCGGGTGGGGAGAGTCCGCTCTCCCTCTCGAAATGCTCTCACATGACCACGCGTATATAGCCTCTGGCAGGGAAGTCCTACTCACTGCCTTCTCGTGGTGGGGGTGTTGTTTACGGAATGGAGGGCGAAAAGCGAATGTCCGGCGATTTAACCTGGTTAGTGGACACGGAGAGTCAACCTAGGTGAGTTGGAAAACGCTCATTCCAAACCAATGGTGCACATGGGTTCCAGTATCCTGAAGGAACGAATGACGTATGAATCAATCGTCGGTCACCGGCTACCATGGGACTGCATCTCCTTACGATGCTCCACTGCCTTGTGGATCAGATCTTTAGGTAGAAGGCTCCGGATGTGACCTCATAAGAAAACTACCTGCTTTGGTTTGGGCACCCGGGCAGTAGCCCAGCCCTCACACAAATCAATGATGACTGCTACTGGCTTCGTTGTTATTATGTGGCGCATATGTATTTGGTGCCCCCTTGTATCAGTATTTATGTGTTCAAATAAAAACAAAAATAAAAGGACCAGAGTCAAACAAGGTTGTCTACTCTTCCCATTCCTCTTTTTTTTCTGGTGGTTGACTGGATTGTGAAGATCTCCGAATCGGACGCGAAGTACAGAATACAAACATTGTAGCAGCAGCAGCCTCTGCAACAGTAGACCTCAACATACACAAAAGAAAAAGCAACATCCTCAAATACAACACAGAGAACACAAACACAATCACAACTGATGGAGAAACTCACAGAGATGTGGAAACCTACACGTACCTGGACAGCATCATCGATGAACAAGGAGGATCTGATGCAGACGTAAAGGCGAGGATTGGCAAAGTAATTACAACATTCCTACAGTTGAACAACATATGCAACTCAAAACAACTGTCTATCAACCAACATCAAAGTGAGTATCTTCAATACGAACGTCAAGATAGTTAGTTCTACTGTACGAAGCTGAAACTTCCAGAACTATCACAATCATCATCAAGAAGGTACAAGTATTTGTAAACTATTGTCTACGTAAGATACTCAATGTCCGTTGACCGGATGCCATTAGTAACAGACTACTGTGGGAGGGAACAAATCAGCTTCCAGATGAGGAGGAAATCTGGAAAAGACGTAGGAAGTGGATAGGATATACATTACGGAGACCACCAAACTGCATGACAAAGCAAGTGCTAAATTGGAAACCTGAATGGAAATGGAAAAGAGGAAGATCAAAGAACACCGTACCGGCATTCGAAAGCAGACATGAAAAGGATGAAAAGCAACTGGGAAGGATTATCCAGGACATAGTTGAATGGAGAATGCTGGTGGATGGCCTATACTCCTTCAGTAGGGGCAATAGGCTTAATTAAGTTTACCAATCAACCACATCTTAAAGTTGTGAATTTCTGGAGAGGTCTAACAGCTTAAATATATTCAACAGAATGTATGGTACATATTGAAGACGAAGTGGGAAGTAGAGATATCTTATTCGGAAGTTCATGTCAGACACTATTATGTTTGCGGTACAAAATGCTTATTCAGTGAAAAATTAAGTTTGAGAATGACGAAATCGAATAGCCTGACAACTAATCTCTGACGATAAATTATATACAAAGATGTTTTATTTGAGAACTCAAAAAATCTTGAAAATTAAGACGAGTTTGAGCCTTTCCAATATTATTTGACTATCCACAAATATTCTTTCAAACAAAACTTGGTTATTTTATGATTGTAAGGATAGTCATAAAAATTTATTTCTAAACTCACCTTGTACCGAACCAACAGTTGCTGATTTTGACATTCCGGTTGCAGCAAAGATGCCCGATTTACAAAAACTTCAGCTTCTTGAATTTCATGAATTTTCAAGAAATATTCGGCTATTCTCAAATAGATGTCCAATTTATAATTTACTCCATAGACTCTATTCAAAATGTCATTTCGAAAAACACAAATAGTAAGAATCGACAAATGTCATGGCATCGTTTATGAAGAAAAGATATACACCGAATGAAATGTTAACATGCTGAAATATATTAACAATGTACTAGATGGAGACTTCAGTGTTCATTGAAAAAAATGTACAGCAGATCGTTAGGATGTTAAACAAATGAAGTACCTACGCACAAACTGCAAAATATATTTGATTTGTGGGATCAAACATTATATTATACATCGATGTTATATTGTCACTACATACTATTGCTTTAAATGTTTGACAATGAACGAAATGAGTCGACTCTAGAATTTGAGTATAGAATTGGTGGTTACCAATTATTTAAAAAAACTACGTTTTCTCTTCTAAGTATGCAAGTGAATTTACATAGAAGCTAAAGTGGATGCTTTGAGAAAAAGATCACCTAAAACAAATAGTTGACTTTCACAGAAAGAATTAAAGGCAGCTTGCTGAGAATACAGTAAACTAATTCCAACGCACATATGCTGACTGCATTTGATATTCTGCTGATAAACTAACACACAAAACTATAAGTTTGATACAAATATATTTGGCAAGTTTAACGACTAAATATCTTCGCAAGGAATTTTTGAAAATAAAGAACACTTAAGCTGTTTTTTAAGTACATACAAATTTCAAAAAACCTTGTACATTGCAGTTAGTCGTTGTAAACCACCCGTTTTTCACAAATGGATCCAACAATTTAGTTTCTCAAACAGATCTTGTTTTGATGGGATTCGATTATGGAAATTTATAGATTAGTTACAATTTCAGATGAATAAACAGAAGTTAAAAAAAGAATAACCAATAGCGAAAGACGCAGGAATTTTCTGGCCGAAGAGTCAGGAGTTAAAGTCTAATGATGATTATATGTTAGTAAATAAATGAAGTCAGTCAGTCAGTCAGTCAGTCAGCTACAATCAGGACCAGGCACATATATTCATCGGTCCAAGTTGTCAGTACTCCTTAGTACACCAAGATAATCAAATTCATAGAGGCAGTTACGTCAGTGATTGCAAAAAAGATTTCATACAACAATATGATACAGGGAGGAAGAATTAGTCAATAGAAGTCAGTCAGCTACAACGTAGGACCAGGCACATATATGCATCGGTCCAAGTTGCCATTACCTCATTAACACAACAAGATGGACACTGGATTCGATAGAAAGAAAAGTATAAAGCAACTTTAATCTCACAGTTTAAAGGAGGATAAAGAGTGTATACACGCACGCCATTGTGATCGATTCTGAGCCATGTCACTCAGTTTCTAACCATTGGTTACGATAGTCACGGGGACCCCAACCAAGTAATCTGCATCTACCAACATGACTTAAACCAGAAGTTAGTGACTTTATGGATTGATGCCACATTTGGATTGACCGCCCTAACCGTCTCCAGCACTGTACGTAGTGGTAGTCGGTTGTTGGACATACGCAATACGTGGCCCAACCATCTCATTCGATGAAGATACACAACCTTGTCAACTGATTTACCATCACCCCCTAATACTATGCATCTAGCCTCACTATTACTTACCCGTTGATCCCAGAAGATGTGAGCATTATTTCCAAGACATCTGTGATCAAATACTAGTAACTTACGAGTACCCTCTACCTTTAATGGCCACGTTTCGCAACCGTAAAGCCAAAACGAACTGCTGCGCAGTATACTCATCCCTTAATTGATGGACGGATATCTCACCTCCACTATAGGTGACTTAAGTTGGCAAAAGCCAAACGAGCTTTTTGAATCCGTGTAGAAATTTGGTCGGACAACAACACATTAGGGTTGTTCAAACTTCCAAGATAAGTGGATTTATCGACGCGTTCGACTGCTTCGCTCCCTATCCTTATTTCAGGTGTTAACGCAGGCCAGTCCTGAAGCAACAACTTGCATTTGGAGGGGTAGAAACGCATCCAAAACATTCTGACAGTTTCTCAACGCTACAAAAAGGCTGTATTTTATCAGCATCTTCACCATACAGGATATCATCTGCGTACTCTAAGTCAATAAGTGGACCTCTTGGTAGGGGATCAATCCCCGAAAATCCAGTCGACAAGGAAGTTATTTCCAGCAGTAAGTTTCTGATGAAAATGAACGAAAATGGAGATAGTGGACAGTTTTGCCGGACACCACTTGAGGTAATTAAGATCCGAAACAAGTTGAATAACAATATTCCAGTTAGATAATGTGCAAATATGAAAGCTAAGAAAGATAAAAACTACACTTGTAATCAAAAGCAATCGGTTTCGAAATCAATGAAACCATGGTAAATTGACAGTAGTGAGAAACTAGGATTTAATTTTCTGTATGTACAAGACCAGGACAAGGAACAAACAAAAAGTTCAATCTACTTGTATGAATAGTGGTTTATGTATGCAAAACACTAAGTTTATCGTTCAAACAGAAACACAAAAGCCACCGTCTTTAATATTATATCCTACTACATCGTATCACCTGACCAATTTAGATTGTTTAACTACAAAACACTTTTGAATGAATTTATATTCATACATACATCTGTTTTCCACAAAGAATTAGGATTAATAAACCCTCAGAACAAATCCTTAAACTTTCCTTCATAAATAACAGTCCAGTTCAGAGAAATGAGCATCTACATTAAACACCAAACTATTCACAAACTTGGATGCGCAAAAATCACTTACCGTTGTCCACTCTCTAATGGTATATCAGACAAAACATTAGCGGCTTCACGAAGGTTTCCCACAGCTTCTAATCGCTTAGAAAGTGAATCACGTAGTTCAACCAACTGCAATTATTTTTAAGTTGTAAAATACAAAAACCTACTTGAGATTCAAAAGCAATATTTCTTGACTGCATTCGAGAAAGTAGAATTTGCAATGCACTAATCGCTAAAGAATTATCAGGAACTTGATTCACAAAGTTTATAAGTTCATCACAAAACTTCCTGGCCGCTATAACTGTCACCATATCCTGAGAAACTGTAACCAATAATAGGTAAAATGTTACTACTTGTGTTGACGATTGTAGTTATATCAGCTAGTAAACTATCGGAAGACTGAGGAAGAGATTTGAGCAAGTTTGAAAACCTGCAAAATCAAAATTTTTAGTTTATTTTGCAACAAACTTTTCCGTAGCCTCTTTTGGTGATTTGCAAGTAGTGATTTCAGAAAGAATAGTACTTAGATTCTCCGCCATATTTAAAACAGACCCGTAACCCTGTCACAATAAAGCATCTAAAAAAATAACTTTACACAAAACAATGAGGGTTCAAAAAATATTACCAAAATTATCAATAGTGAATAAATAAACGAAAAACAGTTGTTTAGACCACTGTTGTTTAGCTAAACAACACCTGCAGGTGTTGTCTACAGTAGACAATCACTTTAAAAAAGACAACTCAGCCTCCCTAGAAGTAGTAAACGAGAAATGTGTTATCCGTTTTGGGGAAATGTCGGTGGGTTTGTGCCATTCCCCGAAACTTTGGGGAAGACCATTGGATTTTTGGGAAAACTCCAAAATAGGAAGATTGAGATACGTATAAATTCTCAGCTCAACTGGCTTCTAACTAACCGTAACTGTCTAATCAGAGGTAGTGGCCCAGCGAATCAGTTAACAATTTTAAATCAAAGGTCGTTCTTATATTACCGTGTTGCTTATTGCTGATAAATTACTATAATGACAGTCGTGCTAACCGCTTGTTGCGGGAAGGTAGAATACAGCGCCAAAAAGCATATAGTTGTCTAAGGTCTCGGTACATAGCGAATGTGAACTGATTTTTCCTTATCTTTAAGTTGTTCAGATAGTAGTTCTTCTTTTAAAACTAGTGGAGCTGTTCACTTACTACAGTTCTAAACTATCACCTTCACTTTTTATCGCTCTCCATATCTTGGCATTGTCAGCATACGACAAAACCGATGATGATAGGAGACTAGGAAGGTCATTTACATACAGGAGAAACAACACTGTCTCACAAACTGTGCTCTAGAGCACCCTGCTAAGCACACTTTCGTGACTAGACAACTTTGAGTTTACCCTTGCTGTTTGTTGACGCCCAACTAGGAAGTTCCTTGTCAGTCTTCAGTTATAAGGATAGGAAGTCTATCGACCTATATTAATCCTTGCAGTTTGTAATACTGTGGAGGTCTAATCTCGTTTTGAATATATTAACAGAAGGTGCTGCTATTGCGTGTTCCGGTAGAGAATTCCAGTAATTCACTACTCGGTGCGGGAAACGGAACTCCAGACGTAAACGATTTGATCTCGGTTTTTGAACTTTCTTCGAATGTCCTCTCAAATGATCAGTCCTAGACGGAAGTAAAAGATAAGATATGTTCAAACCAAGGTCATCGTTCAGTATACGATAAGCCAATATTAGATCACCCCGTATTCTACGGTAGGATAACGGAAATAAGTTAAGGTGTCTCAGTCTGTCTTCATAAGATAGGCCAGATTGACCTTGTACCATCTTAGTACACCGTCGTTGGACTCTTTCCAGCATCTGTGCTTCATACTTGAAACAAGGACTCGCTGCTTGAATTCCATGACCTGAATGTGGTCGCACATAAATAGGGTATAGTTATTTAAAAATCTCGTCATCTAAATACTGGAAAGACCTGCGAATAGACCATAATACCACATAGCCTTTCGCAGCAGCAGCCTTACAGTGACTAGTGGTTTTGAGATCACTGCTTAATATGACTCCTAAATCTTTATAGTCTCTTACTTTGGGTAGCGCGAATCCATATATTTTATAGTAATACGATTCATTATAGTTATTTAGTGCATCACTACACTCTTATTATGATTAACTTCTAGTGACCACCTTTCCAACCATACCACCAATGAGCTAAGATCATTCTGTAATACTATCCTACCCGACATACTGTGTATAGGTCTCTAAATTTTTATGTCATCGGCGAAGAGTATGAAGATGCCACAGGTATTCAGAGCTTGACAACGCTCTAACCAGTAACACCTAATATGAAGCGTACCCACCAAGTGAAATCAAAAGACATAAGCGAGGAAGTTCGAAGATATATTTGATGGACTATCAATATATCGAGAATCGTCTGGTCTAATCTGGCTAGCGATTGCAGTAGATGTTGAGCACAGCGTTCCCACATGTGATGCATGACCGAGCGCCTTCGGCTAGGTGAGTCCATTAAAACATATGGTCAGCATCCAATGTCGAAAACTTACAGAGCTATTTATTTTGGGGATTTATTTACCGCTACAAGTAGAACGAATGATTTTGCTACAGTTGGTAATTCATTTACATAAAGTAAAAAGAGAAGAGGACCGAGAACTGTAGCTTCGAGAAATCCACTTTCCAAAGGTATCCACGAGTAGAGAGCCCCATTAACCCTTACCCTTTGTCTCCTGTCATGGAGAAAGTTACTTATCCAATCTATATAATGGATCACTAAACGTTCCAGTTTGACTTAAAGACCAGAATGGGAGACCTTATCGAAGGCCTTACTTAGATTTATGAAGATCACATGCACAGGAATATTCTGATCTTTTGCCTCAGTCCAACCTTCTCTTGCAACAAGAAGATTTGTCAAGCATGATACGCCTCTCCAAAAGCCATGTTGTTCCCTGGAGAAAAGACTATGCCCTTCAACATGGTTTATAACAGATATCCGAATGATCTTTTCATCAGTTTTACAACTACACTAGTTAAGCTAACGGGCCTATATTTACTAACTAAATTCCTACTCTCAGCTTTATACACCGGACTTAGTATAGCGTGTTTCCAGTCTCTGGGCAGTGTGGAGTGCATTAGAGACATGTCAAACAGTATCGTTAATGGTTCAGCAAATACATCTGACTTGGCTTTCATAATCCTAGGATGAACATTATTAGGACCACTGGACTTATCAGGTTGAGATGCTGAAGTAGCCTTAAAACAGTGCCTTTCTCAATGACTATAGGGTCCATTTGCGAGGCGCCACGATCACAATCAATCGTTGTTCCTTCCTCATCACTGATAGCGAACACGTTACTGAAATATCTCGATAAAGCTTCAGATTTTTCGGTATCGTTTTCTGCCAAGATTAACGGATTTTCTTGTATCAAAAGTGATGGAATTCCATCGCTTCTCTGGGTTCGCCTTTTTACACATATATAAACGTGAATGGCAAAACAACGTGATTGTTGTTCACTAACGGTGGAAGTATAATTAGGTCGACAATATCCTCAGTCTCATGAGTGATTACCAAGTCCAACAGAGAAGAACCTTGGTTAGCACCAAAACGTGTGGGTTCGGATACATGCTGCTCTAATGAATGCTCCATTATTGTTACCAGAGACGTGCTATCAAAGAAGTTTATAGATCCTGTCGTGGCCATCTCAGTCCAACTAATATCAGGTGCATTAAAGTTTCCTATTATCGAGCGTCTGGTATTCGCACTCCAAAAATGAATGTGCTCTAAAATAAAGTCATCAGCTAAGTAGATCAGACTGCGATAGATGACACCGAGCACAAATGTACTACACCCGATGGCCTATTTACAGCTACCGACTTCATAAATAGCGCTACCATGGGATTCGCTAGCAGAGAGGCGGATATCTATATTATTGGCTATATTTAACAGAACGCCACCTCCTTTTCTACATCTATGTCTATCACTCCTGAGGTAATGGTATCCAGATAATTCTGGGTAATGTCTAAGTCACGGACTAACCAATTTTCTGCCGCTGCTACAATGAGTGGCCTTAATTTGTCCACTAATTCTTCTAGTTCATTAAACTTATTTATTAGACTGCGAGCGTTGGCATATAAAACTCCTAAGTAGAACGACCTATCCACACAGGCCTTGGTAGCATTCGCTTCCAAGACCTGACTATCCGAAAACACACTAACATTAACATTGTCCTTGGTCATCTTGCCTATTCTAACCAGTTTTTTGACCTGAAATCCTTTAGATTTATCCGGTAAGATACTACGAATATATTCTCCCAGCTTCTCAAAATCATGCCCGCGTCTAATTTTGGGATCACGGTCGTTTGACTCTAGTAACATGCTTACAATAATATTCGATGTTATTAGATTTTTCTTCTTAGTCACGCCAGGGTGGGATTCTCTCTCACCATCAAATTTCGGTAGTGCATTTTGTGATTCACAACGGGAGTCTACTAATGACTTGCTAACCACCTGCGGACTGCCTACAGCTTTATTCGTTTCGTTTTGTTTTCTCCGTACTGTAGTCCATTTTTCATCCCTCAGTACACCGGGACCACTTGGAACGGTGACGGTTTTTTTCAGATCTTCAGTTTCCACTAGAGGATCATGGTTACTGTTATGACCTTGAATCGCTTTTTCCCGTCGATACCTTGTTATGACTTAAGCTTGACCTGTCTAGTTCAGATTATGACCTTGGCGCAGTAGACTGTGCGGCTTAACCTTGAGGCTAATACGCGTGAGTTCGAGATGGGGTAGAGAGAGAACTGTTCTAAAACCTGATTGGTTGGCAAGCACGCAAGTGTGAGAAGACAAGACAGTTGGAACACTAAACTCTGGATTCTCTGAATTCGGATTAGTGCAAAAGTGTACATGAATAAATAAGTGAATATCCTGACCACAACGTACGATAATTTGGAAAAATACAATTATGCCCGAAACTGGGAATTAGGGTAGAAAATAAGATGCAAAATATTATGTTTAAATTACAATATTTTCGGAACAAAAAAGGGTATGGCAGTTAATGATACACGGAACGAAAGCTCATGTTATGTAGAATAAAATAGGGACAAAAATAAATATAAGTGTTTTACAAGGTTTGAATGAAATGAAATAACGTCCCAAGAAAATAGCTTTCGTAGTTGTCTGGGCTTCTTATTTCCCCGTTCACATTAGTTACCAATGTCAGTGTCTCGTAACAGCAGGTACTATACTGATACATTCTTCACTGTCAGTGCTCGTGTCATCAGCGCATACGCCATCGTTTTTTTTCACAGGTCAAAGCCAATAGGCTCATAGCCTCCTGTATTGTTTTTTTTGGAATTTATGCGTAATATGTAACTTCCATCTGCTGCAATTTCTAAGAAGTTTATGAGCTATACAGTTTATATTTCATAACTGATATAGCTAACCTGTAAGAGTTCGTCTTTTAACATACGCCAGTAGGAGATGGCGGCATGGATATTGACACATAATAAATGTTCTGCAATTGCATTCACAAGTATTTACATCCACCTCGTAATGCCGTCCGCAGTCAACCACAAACAACCAGTCACCGGTTTCATATTCAAGATAAATAAAACGAATTCTTTTAAGTTCATACAGCACCTTCGATCTTGTGGATGGAGTGAGCATGTTCAGCACGGGAAGCAAGCTCTGTGGAGCATTACATTTACAAGATCTCCCAGCTGTTGTTTGATCCTCGATACTTTTCCTAGATGAAGTCATTGCAATCCATTTGAAAGCCTTGTACATACATTTATACAGACTATCACTTTTGCGTACAGATCTTTAAATCTGTCGATTAAGTGATTCAACACGGTTATTCGTGTTGTTATCCAAAGTTAAAACATTGCCATAAAACGCACGCGCCTACATTGTTTTACGTGACATCCAAAAACGTGATAGATACTGGCCTATCACTCTGTCTCTCTGGTTTATTATTCTGAAATATTGATTAAATCTAGTGAATAAATACATTTAAAAAAATACCTTCCAACCGTTTCAGCAGTAACTAATCGACTAGGGTATGTTCTCAGTATTTTTTCCTGTGTCTAAGAGCAATTTTAT